CACACTGTTGTGCTCACATGAAAAACTCAGTGTTCCAGATTTTGTTCAAAGTTAACTCGCAAGAGGCTGATTGTCTGTTTCAGTGAGTTGGAGTGATGGTGCTCTTTTTGCCTGCTTTGTGCCTACTGTCAGTAATACATATGAGGAATGTAAAATATTTACTATTTGCTCCTGAAAATAACGGAAACCTTTCTGAACATCTCACTTGCCCCAGAGCTGGAAAAAAATTGAAGTGAAGGAGACTTTTTCTTTTTTTTGTTTGGAACTGACCTCCGAAGATTCAGCTCATTTCCTAGTCACACACTGAGTAATAGCCTGTAGCGATTTCCACTGTTGAAACAAAGGTTTCCTTGTAGGATGTTTTTCTTGCCCTCTAGAAATGTATTTAGTTGCTGTTGACATAACTGACCTGGCACTTTCCTGAGTGTTGTTATAAGGGCAAGTCCAATTCTGTTGGTCCAACTTGACCAACCAGCCAACCGGCGCCGGAGAAAGATAGTCATGCTTCCCTGTGAATCTTCCTGTTTGACAGCCGTCTTTTCTGCATTCTCTTCTTTCTTTCTTTGTTTTACAGGACTACAAGTAGTACTTTAACTTTGTAATGCGGTTGAACATACTGGATGGCCTTGCAAAAATCTCAGCTGAGCCACAGAATATTTAGTGATGGCGGTCAAATAATTCAAGATCTTAGGACTAGATGGCTCTTTCTTACGCAATGGTCCCTGCTCCTGTAAACTTTTTTTTTTCAGTTTGAATCGTAACAGGTACTGAACCACAGACTACCAAGCTTACATTTTATGCATGCATGCTTTTGATTTCCAAATTGCAACAACCGAAAAGTGGACATAGACCTTCAAAACTGACCAGTGTTTACTGAATTTTGTGCTTATCCCATTGTTCACATATTCCACATCTCCTTTTTTTTTGCCAGAGTACATTTAATATGGATGTTTCACAATAGTGCACCTCGAACAGTTTGCAGTGCACTCGCCAATCATAATGCACGAAATCTATCGACCCAATGCGTGTTTGGAAAAGGTAGACAGATGTCGCGCATTGTGATTGGCCAACGTGTTGCAAACTCTTGCAGGTGCACTATTGTGAATCACCCGTATTGATGCCTATAAAATGGGGCATTTTCCCCCAAACCTTGCTTAGCTAAAAGATTGTTTTGTCTTGCAACTTTTGTGGGTAGTTTTTGGAAAGGTTGAAAATGTTTATTTTTTAAATTGTCAAGTCCACACTCTATATCCTAAATGTTTCCTGTGAAATGCAATAGTTGACAAAATATTTCGCATTGGCAACTTACACATGTAACAAAAGTACATTACACATGTAACAAAATGCATTATGAATGGGACACCTTAGACCCTCACCATGGTTTAACTTCTGGCCATGGACACGTTTCACGTTGCAGTTGATACCTATCTGTAACTATTGAGGAAAAAAACAAGTTCCTAAGTCATACTTCACTGTTTCAGAAGGATGGTCTCAAACAGAGGGGTGAAAGGTAAATTGAACACAGTTCTACACGGGGTTGAGCCAATTTTTATAGGGGCAGGGTACACTGAATATGTCACTCTTAAAGTCAACAGAAATAGAAAACATTCAGTTCATGTGAAGTATTTTGAAATAACAATGAATACGTAACCATTCGTAAATGTAATGTTTACCCCATTTATTGTGACCCCACAATGAATAGAAAGATAATCCCCTTTTGGCCATTCGCGCTTCCAGGCTGATTGCATGACATCATCGCCAGAATGCTGACATGTACAGAGTACATGTACATTGCGCACAGTACATGCAGTATTGCACGCTTCAATGGACCACATTGTTTTTTATGTGGCTCAGTTCACTGGCAAACACTGTCTCAATTCAAGGAATACATGGTAGGGCTATGTCTCATAATTTCTACCTTGAACTGAGACAGTGTTTGCCTGTGGGCCAAGCTACATCAAACACAACGTGGCCTATTGAAGCGTACGATACTGCGTGTATTGTATACAACGTATATGTACACTGTACATGTCAGCGTTCTGGCGCTGACGTCATCCAATCAGCCTGGGAGCGCGAACGGCCAAAAGGGATTTGTTTGAGGACGGGGAAACGCATTATCTTTTTATTCATTGTGGGGTCACAATTGATGTGATAAACATTAAATTTATGATGTTTTGAAATGGTTACATATTTATTGTTATTTCAAAATACTTCACGTGAACTAAATGTTTTCTATGTCTGTTACTCTTTAAACAATGTACTGGGAGTGATGAACTCAAGTTTCTTGGACATTGCACATGGTGTATGTTACAGTGTAATCAGGGCATGAATTGAATGTTGTGTTTTTCTGATTATGTTTTTACCGTGTTCCGTTGATTGTTTTTATTCTGAGTATATATTACCTCGAAGGTAATGGAATTGTGCAAAAGTTTTAGCCAATCAATTGTTCGTCATTCCCGCGTAGACGTAACTCTGCCATTCAGAGAAGGCGTTCGCGAAGCGGGAAAACGCCTTCCCGTCTTACGCAACGGTATTTTGTTGAGGCCATGGTAATTGTCAGAACGCCCATCGTATTATTGTGAATCAAATCACACCAGTCGATGAAGAATAGGTCGCATTGCACAATCGGGCACAATAAGAATCTTGTTGGAGTTTTCTTATGTGAGAGAGAGATAGAGAGTCAGAAGTCAATTTTGACTTGCTCGAGAAAGACAGATGTTTGGAGAGTGACTGTGTGATGCAAGACCGGTTTTGACTCCCTGGCATTAGAAATCTGAGCCAGCAGATTTAGCTTTGTTGTGGATCTGTTTTGACCACTTTGGAAAAGGACGGAAAAATCTGTTTCTGTGAGAATTAGGCAAACTAGGGCCTAATTCCAGCCACATAGACGTCCCAGTCGGCATTAACGACTTCATGGCAACAGTTTACCTTCCAAGACAGTTGTTCAGGAAATTTCCATAAGTGTTGTAATATGGATGATTTTCTTGCTTTTATACATCGAAGTAAAAGCCTGCAGATGATGAAGTTTCGTCGCTGATGATTTTTTAGAAGATCAGAAATTTACATTTATTAAAATAAGGATAATGATATAAGATTTGTGGTAATTTGGAATTGTGGAGATCGAGGTTGGAAAGGAAACAAATTGGAGCATGATATTGCTAGTTCTTTAAAACTGTTAAGGTTTTGGGTTTATATTTATTGTAGATGGCCTTATGTTGAGACTGGTCCCACTGACTCTACCGATGACTGAGAAGAGTCCCTTGTGTACCGCTAAGGAGCATAGACTCTGAACTTGCTCTGCTTGACTGAGCTTTTGGCTGATCTGCTACGGTTTTGTTAGACACCAGATTCAGGGGCTACGGAAACTTCAACAGATGGTGGACCAATTAATGTTGCTATTTCAATAATTTAAAGTAGATATTTGGTGGAACCTTTCTTTTTTATGATTGATGTGATGATCCCAGAGTCACTTGATTGACTTAATGAGTATAATTGGGTTTTTATGACTTAATCACAGACCTGTAAATAATTAAATAATTCTGTAAGGAGTTAACTGTCTAATACCATATTGAGCTCATGTTGTAAATATTGGAATACAGAATATTGGAATTCCAGAAGACCATTTGATCTTGTTATTTATTTAGATTGTCGGTGCATCCTATAGGATCCAGGGTTGCCATTCCTAATTGTGAATAGCCAAATGTCGGAGTGGTGACGGTGTAGATGGTCATTAATGCCTCAGTCAGTTCTGGCGATTTCCTGACTGTGGGCATGCTAGTTTCCTTGCAGAAACGGAAAGGAGAGGATTAGATAAGGGTGGAGTATTAGTCCACAGGGCCTTTTAAACAGTCCGAAGCAGTAAAATTGCTCATAAAGTAATGTGATTCATCATCTTAATTCAGATGGTTGACCAGAAATCCTATGCATCCGATGACATGACAAACTGGCTTAAAGTGCAGAAGTAATAAGTGCCACCGGTATTTTCTGAGTTCTGAGCTCACAGACCCGTAGATCTTTATCAGGGCAATACCGTTGATTATCTGGCTTGTATTGGTTTTGACGAGTGACAGGCAGAAGATGATGCATCAGGTTGTGATTGGCGGAGGCAAGTTCTTGCTTTGGATTCCGGTCAACTTGGATCTTCAAGAAACTGAGGTGTGCTGGAGGAAGGTGTAGGGTTGGACTTCACGGCTTGTCAGAATGTATTCAGTCAGTGATGTGTGAGAGAGATGTTTTTCCTGTCCCTCCTCCTCATAACTGCTGTATGTCATGTGTGCTGCGTCACTATCAAAAATTTACTACTGGTGCTTAGAATTATAACTGGTGATCATGATATAGTCCCTGCTATTCCTTCTGTCCTGCCTCCAGTTTTTCCTCTTTTGGATGGCCATCAGTCTCCCAGTATTTAACTTGAAACCGCATGTCTTTATAAACTGCACTTTGATTAATTAATTTGATATGCTTCTAAGCTGAGAAAATTTATCTCATTTTCCTCAAGATGACATTGTTTTGTTTTGATGGCAGAAACATGACATTTGAACTAAACATTTTCCGGTGCTGAATAATGAAGCATCTTGAGTTGGTTCAGTGCATGCCATGTGCACAGCTGTTGCACTGTGCTGTAACACAACCTTGGACCACAGTCTACAGTGAAGTTACAACTTACTCAGTTTCCCCCATGCTTTTCCCGGAGTCAGTGCTAATTTTACTCACACACCTTACCCTAGCATTGGACCTGCTGTGACCCAAAATGTCTAGCTAATGTGAGCCGCTAAACCACTGGACCAAAAACTTGTGTCTTGTGATAATACAGCACAGTCATTACGCCTTCAACTACTTACAGTACAACTTCATTCAATTTGTGTGTAGATTCTCAAGCAAACAATCATTGGCTTGACATGGCTCAAGCTGTTAGATGCATCCCAACAGGGAAAAGTGCAGTGCCATTATGGTGGAGTCCATAGTTACTTCTAAATGTACAATTTTCATTTTAACAACAGGTGCCTGTGAAGTGACTCAAGCAGAATCACATGCCAGGAGATGGCTGGACAGAACAGCTGAATTTTGAGCCTATCCAGTGCCAGTGGAAGGTCTTGTCAGAATTGCAGAGAACTTTTCTTTTGAGACAATCATCTTTGCCCATCACTCAGTCTTTTGTCTTTCACTGGACACTGTTGTGTTCCACCAGAATTGAGCAGTCTGACCAGCTGCGACAGTTGGAGGTAGTCCAGCTTTAATGCCGGAGGATACTGTTAATTAATGACAACTAACTGGGAGCTAAATATTCAAATGGTGCATCCCTCTGTGAGCCTTGTTCAATGACAGTGCCAAGCTGGGTGTAGACTGCTGCAGTGAACATTTCCTTCGTGGAAGACATTGTGACATTTCAGTCGGAGTGATTCCTTTTCTCTGTACATGCGTGAGAGATGTTCTGTGATCTGTACATGCATCATCTAATTGTATGCTGCTGGAGTCTACTCATGATGAAATATACAGCTTAACTGCTTTGAATAGATTTTGGATTCCACAGGTGACAGAGGTCCCATTGGATGTCGTAAGGAGAGGAGGAATTACCTTCTTAAAGATGTCGGTGACTGTACCTTTCAACATTTCGACACAGATTGGGCCCTACCCCATTATTTACAACACCCCACGCAGTATGGAACCCAAAACACCCCCCAAACCACTCCCCAAACGAAAACCGGGACATCAGTCAAAGCACATTTATGACCGTGTCCCGCTGGAGGGGTCACTGTTCAAGAAATCCTACTCTCCTGTGATGTACCCTAAGAAGCTGACTCCAGCTCCACCGGGGAAGCTCGTGCCAAATCTCCTGAACATTCTGACCATAAATACTCAGAGAGAAGGCTCCGAAACAAGTGTTGAGAACCCAATTTCAGCTGCCCCAGACAAGCCTGCCTTGGTTCCTCCTGAGGAAGGGATTACTTCTCTTGCATCAAGTCCAACACAGGGGATGCAGTCAGAGAACAAACCTACCCCTCCCATAAAGAATAAAGCCAAGAGACAAGGATGCCCAAACCTTGAGGAGGAAGTGGGCCCAGAGCCTTTCCCACATGCTGAGAAGCACAAGGATGGAGATACTAAGCATTTACCATCTCAAGAGGAAAGTCCTGGCTGTGAAGAGGAGGTTGCTGCTGAAAAGAAGAATGCCTACCACGAGAGTGCCAAGTGTGAGGAAGTTGATGGCAGCATTTCTTCCCAGCTGGAAAACTCCATCTCGAAAGAGCAAGACACAGAATCAATCAAAGCTGACTCCGGAAGCTTATTTTCATCCACTCTCCGCTCCACGACCTGCTCTGCGTCATCTGCTTGTTCATCATCTTCATCTTCCTCTTCTGCTTCCTCTACCTCCAGCAACACAAGCTCAGAGTCGTCCAACTCTAGTATAGCCAAAGCCTTCTTCAACACCCCTCATCTTGGGTCCTCCACACCCAAGCGCATCAACTCCCCAAAAAACTACACTCCGGTGGAAAATCTATATGACTCATGGCGGCTGGACATCGCAGCTAAGAGTGAAGGCACTACACCACCTGCAAATGCTGTAGATCCTGTCCAGAGGCCCAAGAAGTGTTCAGGGTACTATGCTGAAATATCAGACTACATGTCAACAGCTGCACTGGGGAGCTCTCGGAATCCTACGGAAAATCAGGCAGTGGTTCTTCCTCCACCATTGCAGTTTTGCAACAGCCACCGCAAAGTCAAGGAGAAAGTTTTGTATGTGAATCTGCCGGCACACGTGACCAACATTACATCCCAAACAACTGAGCATGCAGTGGAAGACCAGCAGGTGGATACTATCATTGTCAATGGTTATGCGGACCCTCAGGACGAACTGATGAACGAATCCAGGGGCTATGAGAATGGCTCCCTTTCAGCCTACACCAAAATAGAAGACGGCGCCAATCCATATGAGACCCCTCTCGATATGGCCACGGCGGCCACGCAAACGGAGCAGGAGGTGGTGACAGTGTCCTGCGAGTGTGGGGAGTTCCTGTGCCTGCCGGCTGAGATGGAGGAGATAGTAGCCCAGCTCAAGCATGAGCAGAACATGCGGATGGTGTCGGAACAGCTGGTCAAGATGGTAGAGGTGGAGATCAAGGAGCTGAAGGAGGACCTCCTCGCCAAAAAGACTGATCTGGTCCGAGCCTTGGAGGAAAAGCAGAGTGCTCAGGTAAGAAAGTTTTGCTTTTTACCCCAGCTCTTATACCAAGGGCCAAGACTCACAAAAATGTTGGCAATAAAGGAAGAGGGAAAGCCCAGTCCTGTAGGTATAGTTGGAGATGCGGGGGAGGATACAGTAAAGGGAGGGGTTCTGTGTCATTCTGTTGAATGCAGTAACAGAACATGTCCTTGAGCAGACTGTTGGATTATGTCCAGTCGGATTCCATTAATGTGCCTTTATTATGTTCATTCAATTTAGAATGCAGAATTGAAACATTGAAATTTTGTTTCCTTTTAGTTTAGTTGCAGGATTCATACAACATTTTGACATTTGACATGGGCATCATTTTCCTCTCTGCAAAGCCGACATTGCCAGTAATTGTAACACCTACACATGGGAAAATAGCCACACCCGGTGTCACAAAATAAAAGGTCATTTACATGCATATTTAAGTTTACGTCTGCGGATTGTGATTACTGGGAAAAAGGTTACTGTGAATGCCCTAACTTGTGTCCTTGGCAAGAGTGAATAATGTGTAGGGAGTGGTGTAGGATGTCACAGGTTGCATTTTGTGACTTACACGTATATGCCCCTTCATCTAGCCTACTTTTTATTCTTGTTCTTTTTTCATTGGAAATGTCAACATTTATTACTTGACATTGACATGTGAAGTTTCTGATCATGTGAAGGCCAAATGATGCAAGTCAGAATGAGCAAGCTTCCTTTTTGAGATCTGGAATTAAAAGTGCATTAAGTCCGAAACAGACTAGCAACTGTGCATGTAAGTCTTCATTAGCTGTTTCGGACACCGGCCGAAACAGCTTTTGGTTTTCTTAACATTTTTTTATTTTTTATTTTTTTTTCTTCTTTTTCCATTTTTCTCCATAGGCATAACATGTGGTCGTTCTAGATGTGACTTTTGGATCTTACCTTAGACTGATTCCCTTCAACTGTTGCACATAGTTAGACTATCATCTGCAAATATATGCCAAATCATGCCATCATCATGATGTCATCACCTGATTTATTATAGAATATTGAACATTTAAGTTTTTCCCATATATTTTGTACATGTTTTTGAAATTTTTTTCCCCGAACTTGGCAATGTTGCATCTTTGACAAAGCAAAGCCCTGGAGACCAAAAATGTACTAAAGGAATGACGTTATGAGGATGTTATCAGGCGTCAAATTACAAAAAATCAACCATGACTTCCCGCAGCTTGGTTTGTGCACCAAATAACAGAGTTATGTTTGGTCTTTATTTCTTCTCATGTGGGTAAAATTGCTTGACCCTTACTTTCTGTCAAAACTCATCTTAACCAGAAGTGTTGTATATTTTGAAATTGATGATAGATATGAACGTAATTTCAACGGTATGAGTCTCTGACACAATTGTTTTCTTCAAATTATGTACCGATGATGCTGTCATGTAATACTTGAGCGCCCTCCGGCGACAGGTTAAAACATGATTAAAATCTATTTTGAATAGATGTCGCCGTGGTGCAGTTTGCTGGAGTGGCTTGAAAATTGATAGATACAATGACCTCAACACCTGCAATGTTTGTGCAAAAAAATAGGTTGATGACATCATTAGACCGGCAGTTATAATGAAAAGTTCTTTAATTCATTAAATATTGCAAAAAAAAATCAATCCTGATGGCTACAGGCTGAAGTTGTCCATCAAAACCTAGAGTAAATATCTGCATCCATTGTGCAAGGTGTTTGGCTCCTTTCATTGTTTATGCACGCAGTGCACTGCTAATGAAAAATAATGCCATCCCATGGTGATGCCGGTAACACAACCCGTAGGGGTAAAGACGTGTAATGTGTGTATTAAAATTGAGCCAAACTGTTTCAGGGAATCTGACAAGTTTCCAGCCATGCATATTGGGCCCTGCATATACTGTGTGTGCTAAATTTTGAACAGTGGACTTGACAATGGCAGTTCAATTTCTGCCCTTTCCAACAAATATTTTGTTATTCCTTGCACAAATCCAAAGATTTCCCTTAAACAGCTCAGTGTTTTTCTACCAACAAAGCCATGTCCAGCTAATAAGTGATTTTTAACCCTTTTTCCTTGGTTCTTTTTTGTTTCCATCCCTGTTTCTTTCCGTCTTTTTTAGTAAATTTTTTTAGGGGAAGGGTGGTGGCAGACATTCCTCTTTCCCCTCCTTGGGATGCACATGAGTAGTGGTAGATGATATCACAATTTTTCATCAGGATACGATGTTATTTTGAAAAATGGAATTGCCCACCTTTTTAAAAAGTATTGACTATTTGGATATTGACAATACCACATTTATATCGGCACTTTTTCTCTAAACCTGAGTTTTCTAATATTAAATTTTATACAGTTTGCTTTGTTTTCCCATCAAAAACTTCACTGATTTCTATCAGCTGAGCAAAACTAACTGCATTTAGCAAAAAATGTTTATGTAAGGTGTTAAAACCTAGGGATGAATCTTAATTATAGCTCACAAGGATTCCTGAAACATTATATGTCAAAACTTTAAACAAGCCTCAAATATAAACAGGCAGTGGATGAAGCAACATAAAATTTCGTGTCATGTTTTATGAACAGTTCCCATGCAGCTTGTGGTGCTGACACTGGTGGTATTAAATGGTGACTGATTTTCCAGGAAAATAGAATTATTTGAAGACCATTTACATCAGGTTAGGCGAGACAGAAACAAACGATATGTCTGCATCGGCTAGAGTGCACATGTGACAATTTGTAAAAAGTCATTTCTTTTTCCAACCCATATTGATTATGCATAATTTTATATTTACAATTTAGGGGAGTTTTGATCATGCACAAATTTGATTTTATCATTGCATCGACAATATAATTACCCCAAAATTGACTGCTGAAAAAAATTTACAATCGCCAGCACTACTTATGGGCATTTCCAGTCATAGCCAAAACTTCGGAAAAGGCTTAACTGGAGGACTGGGAAAACAAACCGGTCAGCGGATCTGGTCAGTTCCCTCACCCTCCCAATAATTCAGTTGGAGTTGTTTTCTTGATTGAGAACATCCCTGATAATGGAAGAATGCTGCTCTCCGGGAAAAGTCTTAATTTTGATTTGGGAGACTGCTGAGTGACGGAAACTTCCAGTCCATTTATTGTCACTCCCCAGTAGAGTCATCGTACAACACTTTCTAGGATTACAGATGTAGATCAGGTCAGTTTTTGTCATCTGCACTACTCAGAGTGACCTTCAAAATTTGGTGTTAAAGTCTAACTCGTAGAATTGTGGAAATGGACAATTCTGTTGGACTCGTCCAAGAACTGACTTTTTGGTAGTCAATGAAAGTCTGTCCACATTTCAGAAGCTTACCGTGTTTGAAAGAAAACTAGGATATTTGATGCCAGGTACTTTTGTGTTTAGTTTAGATTGAAACATTCAGGTGCAGTAAAAAGTTGTTTAATTTGAAACATCTCAACAAGTCAGCAGACTAAAAAGTGAAAAAAAAAGCACACAAAGAACTTACATTTCAAGGCCCTATTGCACTTTTGTAGAAATCTCCATCTATTCCTCTTTAAAATCTCTGCAGATGTTCATCAGTACTTTGTAATGTTTATTTAATGAGCTCCAGTGCACTCCAGTTTTGACTTAGTCACACGGGCAAAATGGTCCTTCAGAGAGTCTCTTCTCGTTTGTTTAAGGACATTGCCTCATTAAGTGGTTCATTCAGTTACTGAATTTGTCAAGAGATTGGAAAAAATTGAAAAAGAAATTGGAAAAATATGCATCAGATGACTTGTCACCTGACTGAAGGACTGTCTGTGAGCAATTTTAATAAACTGCTCAAAGTGTAAATAGGGTTCCAGAGTTTAAATTTGTTACTGGCTACAGTTTGAAATAACGTGTGAGAATCTCAATTCCCCTCAAAAGGAACTCCCAAATCCCCCCAAAACAGATAATTGGGAGAAATTTCAGTTACGGAAAGAGATAACCAATGAACAGATGGCTCTAAATTGTTTCCTAACTAACATGACTTGAATTGCGTGAAATTTATAGGAAGAGTACCTTTATTTTGATCTGCCGTAGGAAGATTGATTCTGCGATAGCTTTTATGGTAAAAATCATATTTTAAACATTGTTTTCCACAAGATTACTGTACTCAAGTACAACTTTTTGAAATACTTCAGGAAGCCCCCTACCCTACACTGTGCCTGGCACAGAATCCAAACACATTTTTCCCCAGGACTTTGATTTCTTTTTTAGGATGATGTGATGTTCGGTGCATGCCGCTAGATAAATGAAGGCATCCTGTTTCCTACCCATTGCACATGGAGTCACACTGACAGCAGTCACCCGATTGGATAACTAAAACATTGCTACCATAACAGTAACTTTGTTATGTAGTAATTGATTAGTCAATCTATGCAGATTGTTGACGTAGGCCTACATGTACAGTCAGGGCTAGATTAACTTTTCTGCAGACCCTAGAACCAGTGTTCTGTAGGTCCTACTCTGGTCTACATGTACCTGGGGTATCCAGGTTTAGTTGGGTGGGTGGGGGGGGGAAATGAAATTTATTTTCTAACTACGACTGTCCAATATCTGAAACAGTACAAGAATTTTCAGCACCTCTTCCCTCTGAGTGGCACCGGTACATATTGCAGTAACAGTTTTAAAATGCTACCGCTGCCACTTCCTTAAAAAGAAAAAAAAAGTCACTCTTGTAGGAGGGTGAAGGGGAGATGTCCCCCTGCACTCTGCTAGATATGCATTTCAGTACTCTGCACAACATAGATCATGGACTTAAGGGGGTAAACTGTTCAGTTTTACCTAAATGTAAATGTATATCACATTGGTTCATGAACCACATGGATGGCCCTCGCTGTGGAGAGTATACAGGCCTATATGTGCATCGGATGGAACCTATGATTGACCTATTTCTGCTGCTTTTACAATGGGGTAAAAGACGAACCCTGACCTATCAAAAGGTGCCAGTGCTGACAAGATTGTCTTGGGTGACCGTCTGTCTTGCATACATCACTGAAGGGAACACAAACATGGCTTGACGTTAAGTTTTAAGTAAGAAAAAAGTAATAATTTGTTAACATTTCCTGAGGTTAGCTTGTAAGCCCCTGTCATGCCTCATTTTGAAGGTAACTGAATTAGTGATCCATATCCGGGCAGCTTGTCATGGGACCTTATGAAATTGAATGCACAACAAGTAGAGAGTGTCCGATTGCACGCCACTGCAACCATGGCTTGCACGCAGGTGGTTGAAAAACCTTGGATGGTGTTTCAAGTTTGCACCTCCCTCATACTGGACTAATTTATCGCATCCTGTGTGCAAGTGCTCCCAGCCAAAACCACGGAGCTAAGCTGACAATTGAGTCTTGATTCAAGACATGCCAGAGGTGATAATTACTGTAGCTGCAGGTGCATTCCTATTGGACCGAGCTCGATTTTTGATCGATTTTAATGTTTTGCAAATTTCTACGTGAAAGTTTTCGCTCAGTTTCTGCACAGGGCTATTTCTCACTAGGCCTGGCCAGTTGGGCAAAGTTGTTGTTTCATCAACTTTCTTTAACCAAGGACCTTTGGGACACTGAAATAAATAGTTTTGATGACTTAACCATTTGTCATCATTTTTATAGAGGGATAGACATGCCAAAAAAGTCACTTCTGTCTGTTGCATGTGACATGCTTACCTCTTTGTGAAAATGATGACCTTTCGACTAGTCTTAACAGATAATCTGTGAAGTGCTTTTTTCTACCAACTGACACCCATACAAGCAGCTCAGATTATTCATATTACCATTTGGGGTTATAATATTAAGGGAATAAATATATGTACCCTACTTAGCCAGTCTTAGTAAGCATCGACCAGCCAAACACATAACTTAAGGCATTCAAGGTGAGCGTGACCAGAGCATCCATTCTCCTGAGCTGGTCTTAAATGACATTTAAGATTGACCAAGCACATTTTTTATGCTATTCATAGCCTATATGCCTTTCGAGTCACACAGTCAAAACAAGTTTTAAAAAGTTATACACTTTCCAACAATTTTGTTCTACAATATACTTCATTTCTTACGACCAGTCCTTATATAGTCATGTTAGTGTATGTGCCTCCCGCTATACAGTCCTTTATCAACTGTTTAAAACGGGCCATGTGACGTGCTTTGTATGTCTGTGATTTCAGGGAGAGCTCCGTGAAGCGACAAAGATTGCTGCCCAGTATAAAATACAGATTGATGAACTGGAAAAGGACTTGACTCAAGCCAAGGCAGAGGTAACTAAACACTGGAAAAAGGATGCTACACGAAAGTTAAAAGTACATGTATGCAAGAATGAATGTACACAAGCTGAGCCAGTGAGCTAGTCAAGGTACATGTTCACCTGGAAAGGAAAGAGATTATTCTTAAAAGAGAGCAGTCTAGTGTCATGATAACTCTCCAGCAAGGGGCTTGGAAAAAAGATGGCAGCAATCAAGGTTTTACAGGTGGATATGTACAAAAGTCCAAAGTTGCAAAACAACCAGTCGTACACAAACCATCAAGTCATCAAGGAAGCAAATGAGCAATGAACCCACTGCAAAAGGGTCATACTAAAGAAATAGGAGAACCAATCTTTATGTGTGTCCCAGTCACATCTGTAATTTTGTAAGTTTTGAACACATTCTTTAATTTCCATGAATGGTTATTATTAATGCAAATTACTTGCCCCCCAATAGTTTTGATTCAATTTCAATGATATTTCCACTCCAAAGTACACAGATCAGGTGTGACACAGATCAGGTGTGACACAGATCAGGTGGATCCCATATTTATAGAATAACCCAAAAAGAAGCAATATGGGCATTTAAAAATAGTGCGCCTCCAAGAGTTTGCAACGTGTTGATCAATCACAGTGCGCAAAATTTGTCGACCCAATGTGCATTTGGAAAGGGTTGACAAATTTTGCTCACTATGATTGGTCAAGGCATTGCAAACTCTTGGAGGCGCACTATTGTGAATCACCTGTATTAAGCCACAGATGGCATATGATTGGTCAAGTGGTAGTTTGGAAAATATGTTGGGTTGGGAGAAGGGGGAGGTTGAACATGCAAGTCTGGCTACTTATTAAGGTTCATCAAGATTGTTTTCATTTGACATGCAAACCTGTCCGGGTCAGTCACGCTGCTTTCACTCACACTGGCGCGGATTGATGTGGGCGGATTAACCATTTCCCATCTATAACCCGCATTTCCCCTTTTTTTCCCCCTTGCTGCTGTCTGACAGATTGCAAAGCTGGAGGAAAGAGTTGCAATAGATAGCAACCAAGACAGCAGGTAAGTCTCTACCAACTTGGGTTCCAAGGAGAAGGTTGGAACAGTTTAACGTTACCATTCCTTCCTATACTGTTACACAGTCTGAAGTCTCAGTGGAGTCATTTGTACATGAATCCTCCAGATGACCTTGTGATTTTCTCCTGAACTTAATGACTCTACATGGAACAGTCTCTTGCGTGTTCAGTGTCATGATTACTATTGTGGTACACGACCGTTTCGATCACTCCGAGATACAGTCATACATGAATTTGAAGGTCAACCACAAACTTTATTTCAATTCATTGATAGTAAAGTGGGCATTTGGATAATATCTCATTTCCAACATGTGCGTAGAGCCAATGTAAACGGCAAGCAATGGAAACAAAACTGTCTTGTCCCCGTGCCTGGAGCGCTGCGCCGCACCACTGGTACGCGTAACTGGCTGGCCGCGGCAGCGGCCAGGGTTAGGCTGCGCTGAGGCATGGAGCGGCGTTTAGTGACTGATTTCATTCTTTAAATGTTGTTGTATGAACCACCTGCAGTTCATTATAAACCGCAGAGATATTTGAGATTGAGAATCAATGTATAAACCGCGGCATACATTCTGAAAATTATGGAATATTGAGATTATATACATGTATTAAGTAAAAAAAAAACACACACACACACCAACGAGCGGAACTCGGAAGCAAACGGGGGGGTGTTTCGTTCTAGATAGTAAACATCCAAAAGAAAGCTGCGATATATTCTGGTGGCCCAAAGAATCTTACGAGATGTGGTTGCCATGGAGACTGGGCTGCAGCTGTCTGATTATGGAAGAGGATGTTGGAATGTTGGGTGTTTGCTTTCTAAAACTTACATTCAAGTCCCTTCTCTGACACACCCATTTGTTCTGTATCGTTGATTTGTTTTCAGATCCAAAGAAGAAAGCAGCGATCCGGACTTTGATAAAAGGATTGCCGAGGCAAAGGACACAGAGGCCAAGAGCCGTCTTGAAGGTAGACCTGAGTGTTGAATTGGATTTGATGTTCTCTGTGCCTGTACAGTTGCTGTGACCAAGCTATGACCCCTCCCCCAGTGGGCAGATTAATCTTGGACTGAATACTTGGGTCCAGAGCATCTTGACCCAATTTCCCTAGACAATCCTCCGGGGTTTTCCCTCTGCACCTGTGGAAGTTGGGATTTCCTTTTGAATCAAGTGGATTCTATTACTGGTCCATGGTCAGTGGAAGGGTTTGCTTTTGTACTTGATAGTGTCCTCTCCCTCCTCCAGGGTTCCCCATTTAAAGTGAAATTTCCTTTAGTGTCAGGAGTGTCTCCAAGAAATATATGTCAGTCACAGGTACTTGTGGTTTTGCGAAAAATGCCTGCCAAGTCTTTAATTGCCGGTCGAAACAGGTCAAAAGCGATGTTTGTTTTTTGGGGGGGATTTGAAAGACAAGCAGAATGTGAAAAAACGGAAAGAAGCAAAAAAA